TTAAAGATAACTCAAGGTAATCTATAGTATATATATATATATACAGACCTTAGAACAAAGAAAAGGTGCTAACGGCCCTGGTAGAAATTTTGGATCGAGAAAAGGATATCCTAGAAGAAGAGTAGTTAACACGACGAACCAAGTTGACAATAAGAACTACCTAATTCACATTCAACGGCAGATATCTATGAATAGACATGTGGACTTCCTATCGGATCGCCGCTCTCACCTCTATTGGCAAATGTATACATGAACAAATTATGAGAAAGTATCAGGGCGTCACCGCTGCAGCCAAAAGTTTTTATGCGGTACATGGATGGTCGTAAAAAATATAAAAATTGGAGGATTTCCTGAAGTTTATAAATCGGATTGATGAAAGAGTAAAGTTCGGAATGGATGTAAAAGAAGAAGGGCGTTTGGCTTTCTTAGATGTGGAAATGGGACACTCAAGAAAAAATCGTTCCGAAAGAAGTCGTACGACGGAATAATACTCAAGTTCGAGTCTCATCACAACTAAAGAATGAAGCTAGGAATACTGAGGAGCATGATCATCAGAAGCCTACGATTAATGAACATGGAATTCTGGGATGAAGAATAGGAAAAGTTGACTCGGATATCTCTTGGCAACGAATACACGAGAGAAGTATACAAAGAAACATACTGGCCGTGAAGAGTCTATGGCAGAACGGGATTATGAAAGAAAGATAAGGATCGAGAAATACTCACAAAAGTGGATATGCTTCAATTCCTGCGAACTAGCTCAAAAACTTCAGCCAATGTTAAGAAAATGGAATATTTGGGTGGACACGAAGAAAAAAGCAAAACTCTCTACAAGTCTACCGACGCAATACGAGAGGATAGACAAATTGGATTGCTCGGGAGTTTACTGCATAGCATGCGAGGCCTGCGAACAGAAATATATTGGCGAAACTGGGAGAAAAATCAGCTTACGAATCAAGCAACATCAAAGACTCTGCATGAAAATGGATATTTAAAGATCGGATATAGCGGAAAGCACATCGCACAAACTGGGCATCAGAGTAATTGGAAGGTAACTGAAGGAAGGGCCTCATACGGTAAAAACACAAAGAAATAGAAGACTAGAGAGGCTATTGACATCCTTGGAGAAAAAAAGTTAATTAATAGGAGCCAGTAAGACCAATCGACAGCTGGTCAAGAGGAATCCGCCGTCATTTTCTGGTAGAACCGACCTTAGAATCTCTTCACCCAACACTTCCACTCGAAATGGAAGTAAGCTCAAGAGTAAAAAGGAGACGCCTGGATAAAGGATCTATCGTAAATCAGAGGAAAATGGATGCAAGGAAGAAGGAGATGATTAAGTTTCGGGAATAAATCAGACGCTCTCAGTGAGTTTGGTCTGCTCAAAGAAACAGCTACAACTTTGAGGGTCTGGCGGCCACAGAAATAGGGAGACGGATAAGCACAACCGTCACATAAATTCGGCGTTATGGCCAAAATGTATTAGAAATCCACTCAAGATGAAGCAGGAGTCAAGGCATAGGCGTCCACAGTTTGGTCAAGTAACATGTGTTTAATCAAGGAGACGACCTGTGAAAGCAATGCCTAATATCTGCAAGCATGGGAATCATAACCTATGAGTTCTGTAGGTGAGGCGACTTTGTACGTGGTACTGAAGGATTGAGAAATAGCGTCTGGCACAAAACGTACACTAGAGCTGGAACCGAGGGAAATCGGTAAAGCAGAAAGATGGGAAACAGATCTACTAGCCCATGAAGGAGATCCGGACAAGAGGCTCAAGTAGGATCAGCCACTTGAAAGAGAAGGGGACAAGACAGGCAGCAACTGTGATCACGCGACGGTAAATCCATCAAAAGGGCACACCTCTTGAGAGGTGTAATAGAAATAAGTCAGAAGTTATGATCGGACGAGGGCAAAACAAGAGGGTAGGAAGTAGAATGAGGGGCCAGAAAAGAATGAAGAGTGATAGCACAACCGTTTCAGCAGAAAGTTTGTCAAGAAATTGATTTCATTTGTCTCTTTGATTTTTTGTAGTTTGGTGCTGAGAATGGCAAGACGCACTGAAGATGCCGACGAAACGTCTGGGAATGTACCAAGTCGACGGTCAGACTCTGGAAATCATCATGCATACTATGAATTTCGGACAAGGTGTGTTCTTCTAGGTGTTCTTGCCAATACGACCAAGTTGCAAAAACAAGGTCAAACAACTGCGTATACTTTATGTTTACTAATTAGTTCAGTTCAGCTATGCTAAATTGTATTGGCACAGTTGCATAAATGAACATTGTCCACATAATTGTGAGCGTAGTGGGCTAAAATGTGACAACAAACACCAGTCTTGTGCTACTTTATTTCTCGCGATTATGCAGGCACCATACATTCGGGTTAGCAACGAAAGCCGGCAAATCGAGTCCCTTAGGTCTAGCATAGCAACAAAAATATGACCAGGAAAGAGATGAGTGTAAAATACTCACTTATTCGGGGCACATGTTGCGTGTTCTCCTGCTCCTGTGCTGGCGAGTTAATGCAACTCTCCGAAGGCGAAGCAACATTCTCGAAGGGGTTACCTGCCAAGTTGATGTGGTTGTCGCTGAAGTCCGACTTTTTCCGCTCCGAACTACCCTGACCAGCCATGTGTGACGGTGATGCGGACTGGGCAAAGAGAAATGGCGACATTGCCGACGCATTGGCGGCTCCGCCAATATGTGCCAGAACTCCGTTATTACTTGCGTGGTTGGGAAACAGATCACTAGCCGTCATGTCTGAGTAGCCGCCAAGCATACTGCCATCCCGATCGTCCGTACCCAGGTCGCTAGTTTTATCCGGCTGCCGGGTTCGATCGGTAGGAGCGTTCGTCTCGCCTGCATGAAGAGGGGTCGAGAAAAAGTTGGATAAAGTGGACAGAATTTATGATTGCCGACTTTTGGTAAAACTGCATATCAAACCGCCTTACATCTCAACCATAAGATTGTGTGAAATCGAATGGAAACGTAAGGACTATTCACATGATTGAAAGAAAATTCAACTACTAGTCTCACGATCACCATAAACGAATACATATGATCTACTTGTGGTCCCAAGAACCTACTTATAAACGAAAAACTGCACGATAAACTGTTATACATGTCTTGCTTGAAAGAGCTGCTATCTTGGCTGTCAATCTGAACAAGGAAAAAGGTTGGTACATCATTTAGCACAACATGTAGTTGTAGTAGTAGCATAACATAAGATTTAATTCTGAAAAATATATAACTGGTTGTGTTAGCTGCCCAAGTGAACCTTGCTAGTGTGAATAGACTTTTTGTCTCCTTTAATCATCTAAATGTTGCCATATATAATTTCTTGAAGACAATGCTCATCCATTTAGTAGGGAAATTAAAAAAATTATATTATATAAGTAAAATAATGCTCTTATATTCAGATGCGGAGATAAAGCATATTCCTAGCAAACTCAGATCAAAAAAGCTTTCGGTTTATTTGTCCCAGTCTTTTCACTGAGATTTTGATATTAAAGTCTCTCTAGAGCGTGTTTGAGTCCTAATTTTCGATTCTACAACTTTTCAAAATAAGCGATTGCAGAAGAGGTTCGAATAAACACAGTTTTGGGATACAGTCCACAGAGGAATTCACAAGTAAGCCGAGGCTTCCATATAAATTCCTTGTAGTTAATTGAATAGATATATCCTAAAATTTTGAGTTGCACACATTTTTTATATAAAAGGTAATAAATCT